ACTGCTCTGAAAGGATCTGAAAGTGCCAGACCAGCCTCCGATAGATTAGCCGCTGGGTGAAGAACTCACCCCCTTGGTAGTAGTAGTCACCTCTTTTGGCCAACCACATTTTACCGGGGCCTTCAACCCAGGAGCCGACGCTTTTCCCCACTACTGAGGAGACCCATTCCTTCCTCTCCTCGGAGCACCAGCCCTCGGCAACGAAGACCTCAACATCGGCCCTCTCGGCTTTGGCTACCTCCTCGAGCTTGGCCCTCTCAGCGGCCTTAGCAGCTATCCTAGCAGCCTCCTCAGCAGTGGCTTTGCCCTTCGCCTCAGTAGGCTCCAGCCTTGGGCCCATGCTAGCCTCGGCCTCCACCAATTTCTTCCGAAGGGAGGCATTCTCCTCATTGGATTTCTTCAAAGCCTCATCAGCGGCGGCCTTGTCTTTCAGTATCTGATCCACCCTTCGGATTTGCTCACAGAGGCCCATTAAGGTCTGCAACATCAAAGACACAAACGACCAGACATGTTACATGCTTTACACAGTAATAACGAACGAGGGTAAGAACAAAGAAGAAACTTACCGAAACGTTGTTCAAGAGGATCTTGGAATTGAGGGCTTCATTGTCTAGTCGGGCGAGGGCCACCCTATCGCCCGAAGGCATCACCTGGTTCATGAGTACCGAAGGGCATAGAGTAGCCTCCAGAACAGAGCTGCCCCTCGGTACGACAGCCTCCAGCTTTTCCCGGCCAAAGAAATCTTCGTTCACAAACTCCTGAGGCAGGGGCCGGAGCCACCCCCTCGTCCACAATTATAACCTCACTGGAGGCAGGCTGCTTTCCGGAGTCAGCCGCCTTGTGCTTCTTCGCCGGGGGATCAACCCCCTTTCCGGCCCTTTTCTTCTTTGAGGCCACTACGGCCTAAGACCCCCCGGCCTCACCAGCAGCAGCTGCGGAGGGCTCCTCAACGGCCTCAATGGGCTTCTGCTTGCCCGGCTCCTTCTGAGCCTTCACCTTCTGCTTTTTCAGTGCAAAGAGGGACTTCATATCCATGTTAGCGCCTTCAAAACGACAAGGATAAGAAAAAACCGAGAGGTCAGATACGAGGACAAAAGAAAAACAATGCAAAAATTTATGTAAGTACAAAAATATAAAGCCTTCGGGAACCACCTACAGTGCTTTCGAAGGCTCAACCAAGGAGGGGGTGTTTCTCGTCTTTCCCCCCAGAAAGCGGTACCGCCGGAAGCCCAGGCTATAAATATCTTCCGGAAGGGTAGAGTCCTTGATCATTGCCATCTTCGTGGACCCCTCCGGGAATGCCGATATCTTCTTACCATCCCTCTTGAGGGCAGCACTCTCCACCTTCAGATGGCACCTGAAATGGTTCCGCAGTGCCCCCGGGAATGGATTATCTCTCATCTTGATATAGCAGAAGCGGTCCTTCCAGCCTTTATGGGATGAAGGTACTTTAGAGAATAGCCTCCACTAGGGGATCTGGTGCAAATTGGTGAACCCTTGGCGTTGGTGTGACCCCCCCGACAAAGGTTGAAGCTTCGGAAGAACAGGTCCAGCCTGGGAGTTACCTTCCGGGACCGACAGAGGTGAAAAAGCCGGTTATATGAGAATGACTCTTCGGGGTAAGTTGGCAGGGGTCCAAACCTACATACCGGAGGTATTCGAGAAGAAAGGGATGCAGTGGATACCGAAGGCCCAATGAGACCGATAGCACGTGGACGGCGAAGCACCCCTCTGGTGCACGGGATAACACATCATTAGGACCCGGCTCTATCACAGCCGCTGAAGGCCCAACGTGAAGCTGAGTAACATAACATTCTGCCCGATCAGCCCTTGACTTTAGCGCGAGGGCACGGTATTCAAGTACGAGTGCCCCTCAGGTATCCCCACAGGCTTCCCAGAATCCGCCACTTTTTGTTTCTTCTTCTGGGGGGCTTCGCCTTCTTCTTCTTCAGCGGGGCAGCTCTGAGGGGTTCTGGGTTGAGGGCTCATGATTTCCTTGCCCCACTAGCGATAGCCAAAGGGATAACCACAATCACCTGACGACGTTCTCTCTCCTCCTCTTCTTCAGCCGCTTGAACAGCGAGGGCCAACTCCTCGTCCTCGTTCACTTGTTCGAAATCTTCGGCCTCAGCTTCGGCTACAAGGTCCTTTTGCACCTCTTGTGCTAAGGCAGAGTCGTCATGAGATGAGGCCCCCTCACTTGCTGACCTCTCATCCGACCAGGTCTCGGATTGCACCGAAGGCTCTCGGGAGATGTCTTGTGAATCACTTGCATATGACATCCTTCGAGATTGTTGGAAGAAAGAAATAGAGGGAAGCAGAGTCCTAGGACCCCTAAACACTAGATATAAGGCTGACTAAGCAAATTATGCAAACTATATGAAGAACGAAGGAAGAACTTACCTCAAAACCTAGGATTTGATCGACTTAATCACTTTCTCTCTCTAGGAAAATTTGGCAGAGCTTCGCTACAAAAATCGCACAAGGCAAATGGGATCCGGCCAGGGGTATTTATAGCCTCCCCAACCGCGGTTAAGGTATGAGTTTGGGCCTCGAGTTAAAAGCCCATCATTATGAACCATCGCCTCAGCCAACCGGTGACACCCGCCCGTGACAAGCCAACCAGGCCACGAAACGTGGACACCTTCTCCAACGGTAATATCCCAACGACTATTTTTTGAAAAAACCTGAGGTTCCCCTAGCTAGCACCCTTCAAACAACTACAGAGCATGCCCAGAGCATGCCCTCGGGTTATCACATTCAAAGACCCTCCTGCCGCATTTAGCCCTCAACATGGAGATTGGGGAGACCTCTTGGGAGCCCTCAGCCCTCGATATATGGAGACGTAAGGGATCCCCCTCGGCAATCAACGCCCTCAGATCATAGATAGCCCTCGGCCTCTCGGAGCTACTCTACACAGATTATGAATGGGCCTCGGCCTAAGCTGTACCCTTCATTTGAGATCGAAGGGTTTACCTTTTTACTTCATTGTGGGGGAACCCAATGTACTCTTTTTCCCTCATTAGGATTTTTTCCCACAGGTTTTTTCCTAATGAGGTTCTTAACGAGGCATCTCCCTAAAATGAAGCAAAAGACATCAGCCCTCGGCTCTCTACTGAAGACAGGCATTACTTTACTCATTCTCACACCATTACATATGCCTCAAGGAGTGGGGGACCTGGGGAACCCCTTCGGGAAAATCATAGAAGGTCAAAGGTTTTCTCAAGACATCAACAAAAGCCTTCAGTCCCAAAATATAGGGTACTGAGGGACTGCCCTCAGCAGAGTACGCAAACACAAATGTTTCACTACCTGCAAACTACAACAAAGCAGCCGTCAGCAACTTCACAACATTTACTCCTATTTCCCTCGAGAAGCTCTCGGCAAAAGGAGTGGGGGGCTCCTGATGGAGTATATGGCCCAGGAACCTCCAGCCCACACACTTCCACCACTACGATCAGGCCCAACAAGTCCAAATGGGCCAAGCCCATCGAACAGGACTCCAGGCAGCTCATAATACACAAGGCGTGCCTTCGGCCCCATGCCGAAGAACAATGCTTGAAAACCAAGCCTTCAACACATACAGCCTTCGGCACATAATGCCCCCATCATGTGGAGCCTTCAGCACATATAGCCGGAGGCGCTCTTCTCGACAAGATCTGCTCTCCCACATGCGCTGAATCATCGCGTCAAGTACAACGTCACATCCAACCACCGCATTTAATGCGGTGCACACGCGAGTGTCGGTGTCACCACGATTGAGGAGACCCTCGGCCGTAAGATGCTTGGACACATGTCCCTGCCTAGCATTTATGGCTATTATAAATAGCAACCACTTTCCATTGTAATCGACACAACTTTCTTATTCGAATACACACTCTCTCTCTCTCTTACTTATTGCTCTGACTTCTCTCTAGGTTATTCTCCGAAATTACCCCTCAGATAAGCTACCCCCGGGTACACTATCCCTCATGTATGAATATGAAAAAATATATTATGAAAGAAATGTATAAATATAAAAAAATATCACATAAAAATAAATTTTATTGTAATTTCATTCGAAGAGAGAAAATAGAAAGAGAAGTGTATGTGTAAGGACTAAGATAGAAAAAAAGTAATGAATTTATTTTAAAAATTGGATTAGAAAATTGTAGTACTCCTAATACATTCCACTTATCATGAATTAGAAAAAAAATCACTCTGAATTGACGAGCTAATTTGGGAGCGAAACCTGAAAACGAATCCATAACGGTTGGGACTGATTTGCGTTTGCGATTATGTGGAGATGAAGAACACATAAGTATGCCTAAGGTGGAGATCGCAAGGAAAAATGGAAGAGTGGAGCTGAGAAGGATAGAGATTACTCGGAAGAATTGAATTGAATTGAAGGGAGGAGTAGTAAAGGCCAGGGATGCGAAAGCAGTTAAAAGTAAAAGTATTTTTGATATCGTAAAGGTGAAAAGTTAAAAGTTCATACTCCCTTCGTTCTTAAATATGAGTCTTCTTATGCTTTGGCATGAGTTTTAAGAGGAAAATAATAGGGGTAATGTAGAAGGTGTAGTGAGTTGTGGCTAAATGAAAAAGTAGGAAAGAAAAAGAGGTAATGATAATAAAAGTGAGGGTATAAAGGTGTTTTGATTGAAAAAACTTACCAAAAAAAGAAAAGGGACAAATAATTAAAAATCTCCCAAAAAGAAATGTGAGACAGTTAATATAGAAACTAAAAGAAAAGTTAGATAGAGTCCAGAAATTTCCACCTTAAATTATTGAGAGAATTCCGTAAATAGGAGTAAAAAAGTTTTGAAATTCCAAAATAGGAGTATCATGTTTTTTATTCCCTGAATAGGAGTAAGTTTCTGCTAAGTTTGGCATTACTAGGTTTTAAAACATGACATTTTTTTCCAAACTTGATTGATTACCCCTATTTACGTAATAAAAAACATGATGCTCCAATTTTGAATTTTTTTTACTCCTATTTAGATCAATTTCTATAAATTATTTAAAGTTGCCGGCCGAAGGGTGTGATCCAGTCCAAGTTCTGAAATAACCTAAACCCTACCTCCACTTCTAAAAAGTGGTTGTTTCTCTTCGGCGTGCCAATTCATCCCATCTTCTCTCTACCGCCCATATCTCAGCCAGACGATCATACGGTATATTGCTCTCTCCGTTTCTATCTCCTCTTCCCCTTAGGTCCGACGCAGTCTGCACTCTACACCACGCCGTTCGTCTAAAATTTCAATATTAGTCCATTATCACTAACTGTCTTCTTTTTTCTTCTCATCTTGTTTTGTTTGTTCTTACATACTCCATATCTTTTTACTCCGTATATCTTATCAGCAGTGAATGGATCAAGCTTAGAGAGTGTTGTTCAGTTCCGTTCTTTATATGCTCTTTCATTTAAACGATGAATAATTTTCTAAATTGGATTGTGATAAGCTCTAATTTCATGACCAACCAATATGCTGGCAGTCTCTCCTTCGTACGGAGGAGAGCCAAAATTTTACCGATTACCTGCGAGCAGGTGTCACATCATCCTGACATCCTGTGATGGCATCATGATGATGTCAATAGTGCCTTCATCAATATAGGTGGTAACAGTTATCTTAGGCGGTCTAGCTTTTACTCCCTCCTCTTACAACTTTGTCACTTAGGCGGTCTATCTTAGGGTGTTTGTATTTGATTCTTAAATCTCCTTCTTCTCTTCATGGAGCAGAAGCAGAAGTTATTAAAAGTGCAGAAGTGATTCTGGTGCTCTAATTTACTTAGAATCAGTTTTTTTAGAAGCTGAGGTTCATCATCTTCTGAAAATTGATTCTGATTCTGCTTTAAAAAAGAAGCAGAATCAGAATCAGTTCCAAACACCCCCTTAATCAATTATTTTGTGTTTTCTATTATTTCTCTTTCCTCTGCACAAATCTGAACCACACATTTTTTACTTTATTATTCTTCGTGCCGTTCAACTTTGTCAAAGTTCCAAGGGACAAAGGTAGTATATACTCTCTTGCCTTAAACATTTGTAAACGTTGGACCAATAAACTAAGAATTGTGTGTTCCAGTTTTGTTCAAAAAAGGTGTGTTTGTGTTTTGTGCAGGGAGAAAAATAACAAGAAACTCAAATTATTTGATTAAAAGCGAAAGTAACAAAGTTTTTTGTAGGACCCAAAAAGGAAATATTTCGAAGTTCTAATCTGTACTAGTACTTGGACTCATCACATATAAATGCCTAATCAAATCATGCAAGTTGTATTGAGCGTTTGTGTTCTGAATGGAGTCCTCTCTTCTTTTTGCTTGCAGGTTATAACTTTATTATTCAGAAATGGCAGTCACATTCCAAAACCTTAGTTCAGATTCTGGCTTCCAGAAGCTTGATGAGTACCTTTTGAGTCGTAGTTATGTCACTGGGTGGGTCACTGACTTCAGCATTGTTTTCTGTTTGTTTTGTGTCTTAATTTTAATTTTAATTTTAAATTTAGAATATTATAATAATTATTCTGTGATCAGGTATCAAGCATCCAAAGATGACATTGTGGTGTTTTCGTCCTTGCCCAAGCCCCCATCCCCACAACTAGTAAACGTTTCTCGGTGGTACAACCACATTGATGCGCTTTTGAGAATTTCGTATGTTCTGAATTCTTTAAAATCCTCATTTTTGTATTATCGTTATTTCACTTGTTTCTTGTGCAACATCATTCTAACTAAAGCATTTTTTATTATTAAGTCTGCCTAAGCTCATAGTATTTTCTATAATCTAATAAGTTTCTTGACTTCCCCTTTTCACCAGTGGTGTAACTGGAGAAGGTTGTGGTGTTATTATAGAAGGCTCTGCACCTGTCACACAGTGTGTGGCAACACCACCTGCCTCTGACCCGAAGGTAGCCTGTTGTCTTGTTCTTTCTTATTTTGATTGTGACCTGACGATAATATCTTTCTCCCTATTTTTTTTAGCTCTCTTTAACCATGTCACTGTACAAATTGTATGTTGTGATGGACATGATAAAATTTGGCAATTTCATTCTTAGCACTGTGTTTAATTTAGCTGTGAATATGAAATTTACAGGCTGCATCTGCTGAGGATGATGATGATGATGTTGACTTGTTTGGAGAGGAGACTGAAGAGGAAAAGAAGGCTGCTGAAGAACGTTCTGCAGCTGTTAAGGCATCTATTAAAAAGAAAGAATGTGAGGTTTCTTTTTATAATCCAGATTTTTTAATATCAATATTAATTTGAATGAAGTCTCAGGATAACACTACAGTCCACAGGATGATGAGAATGTGACTAAATTTTCCTGAATCGATTTTTTTTAATTTCAGCTGGAAAGTCCTCAATTCTTTTGGATGTTAAACCATGGGATGATGAGACTGATATGAAAAAGCTTGAAGAAGCTGTTAAAAGTGTTTCAATGGAAGGATTATCTTGGGGTGCATGTATGTCTACTTCTTTTTATCTTCACATTGCAAGCATATATGTTGTATTTGACCTTCCTAAACATTTTAACTGTCATAAACTTTATCCATGTTATGAACAACAGGGAAGGAAATAAAATTTGTGCAAGTGTTGTTTTTATGTCGATTTAAAGTTAGGACAGAAAACAAATCAGTTTTTGTTTTATAATTTTTTTTGTTTGTTTGTATAGTTTTTTATAATACGGAGTAGAAATTTTAAAAGTTAAAAAAAACTTTACCACAATGTTTCTTTTCTTGCAAGTTTTGTATGCATTTCCCTAATTCATTTAACTAGCATCATCTGCACTCCAAACTAACATCAATGTTCTATCCCATTGTGTTCATTGTAAAGTCTTTGCAAGGTATCATATCTAGTGTAATAGGATTTGTAATGGAGATGGACCTTAAAAATGATGGTTAAAGTTTTAGTATAGATTTTGTCTTCTGCGCTGGTTAGATTTTCAACCATCGATTGCTTTTTTCACAGGCAAACTTGTTCCAGTTGGTTATGGAATTAAGAAACTGCAAATCATGCTCACCGTTGTGGATGACCTTGTTTCTGTTGATGATCTTGTGGAGAATTATCTCACCGTTGAACCTATCAATGAATATGTTCAGAGCTGTGATATTGTTGCTTTCAACAAAATATGTAAGCACACTAATCCTTCTACAAAGAAGTCTCCTTTTATAAGCGCTACATGCTTAATGACACCACCTTATACAATCTTTGAACAGGATTTATTTGCATTTGGGTGCTGGGGGAATGTGCTATGCTTATATACCGCCTACCAAGGACTGCTTCAATCTATTGTGGTTTTTGTTGGACGAGAGTTTTTTGTTGGGACTCATTTTGTGTTCTTTTGATTTGTGGTTACTGTTCCATATCTAATGTGGAACTTCAACTTTCCGAGTATAATTTATTGGTAATATGCGTGTTTTTTTACTTTCTTGAAATTTTATCTTAGAACGTTCAATTTATGCCACTGCCCTTATGTTAGTGGATTGATTTTGATTGAGTGGACGGATTAAGTTTGTCAAGTTCTAATCGGGTCTGGTTTGTTACTTCACTGGAACCCGAAATGTTCCATTTATGATGATTATAATAAAAACCCAACTCAACAATTTGATTCGTTAAACACTTGCAAATTATACATGTTATGTAGAAATTTCCCTCAAGCTCAATGTCTAATCGCGATTCGCGTCTGTCAAATGCTCGCATAATTTTTGTCCAGACTCCAGAGTGATAGGGAATGAATGACTAATAAATTCATTTGGGCATGTTTTGGGTATGATGATGATCCTCCCTTTCTTGTTTGGGAGTCTAATAAATTGCAGGGAGATTTTAAAGGGTTTTTGTAATCCATAAATTTTTAATTTCACCAATTTCAAGGTTTTTTGAAGGATAACAAATTAAATGATAATTTTAGTTTAATTTAAAATGAATACATACTCTAAACAATTTTAATTGAAATTCTCATGTCCAATTATTTGAATTCAATATATATCCTAAAAGATTTTAATTATTATAATTCTTGTGACCTGGACAGAGACCGGGACTGGTCTAGTTTAGAGACCTAGTACAGCCCATAATTAGTTATAATCAGACGGAATTTCCGGCAACGTCGGTTGATGTTTCCTCCATTAAGTAGTCGGTGGCGGTGATCTAAGTTCTTAAGTTTTACATTGGGCTTTCAACCAATTGTGTAAGCAAACAAGCTTCTCAAGAGAGTTTGCGTTCAATCTCGTTCTATAATCCGTTAGTATGTTGTCGACTGCACTAAATTCTTGTTCCACGGCAACAGTTGATATCGGCATTGTTAGGACTTGCTTAACAATTTTTGAAAAATCGGGAACGTTCTTTATTTTTCCTTCCACCACTTCAGAACGTCAAAGTCATCACTCTCTTTATAATCAGGAGACGTTAGATATAAATAAAGCTCATTAATATATAAGTACATTACTATATGATGAATAGTACACTTATATTTTATACTTTAATACATATACTCATATATATGATGATGTAGTATATGAAAATATATGTAATACGTAGATATTAAGCATATAAGTAGATATAATAATTAAAGTGTAACTAATATATAATACGATAGTATAATGTTTATAGTATATAATATATAAGTATACTACAGTACTATAAGATAAGCAATACACTAATATGTAATACTTTAATATATATACTTAATATATTAATTAGAGATAATATGTAAATATAAGTAAATGTAATAAGTATATGTTAAGTAGATAATAAATATAAGTAGATATAATATACTACGTATGTATTTATAAGTAGATATTAAGTAGATAATAAATATAACTAGATATAATATATGTATTTATAAGTAGATAATAAATTTATAAGTAGATATAATAATTGTGTAACTAATTTGAATAGATATGAATAATATGATATATATTAATAGGTGTAGAGATAGAGGTAGACTCGGGCCGGGTGGCCCGACCCGGAACCGGCCTGGGACTGGTACTGTTCCGGCTCGGCCCGGCCCGGTGGCCCGGCCAGGGACCGGTCCGGGTAGGCCCGGCCCGGCGGTTTTACGGTGCGGGCTCGGGTCCGCCAAATGATTAACCGGCCCAGCCGGGCCGGGCCCGGTTCCAGGCCTCTTTTTAGTTTTTTCAATTTTCTTATTTTTCAGGCTTGGGCTGAGTGTTTTGGGCCATTTGAGGTGGTGAGGGGTGGTGGGGGTGTGGGGGGGTGGGCCGGTGGGTATTAGGAGATTAATTAGAAAAAAATAGGAAGTGGCCCGAGGCCCGGACCGGACCCGGTGGCTACCCGGTCCGGTCCCGGGTCCAACTATTCTGAACCGGCGGCCCGCCCGGGCCTAGGCCCGGCCCCGGCCCGGCCCAAATCCACCCATATGTAGAGATAATGAGAAAATTGGAGAAGATGAAGATGGAGAATTGAAGATGATTAAAGAGTATTAGAGAGTAGGAAGAATTGTAAGATAGATGTAGAAAAATGTTTAGAAATTAGGAGTATTAATAGTTCTCCCCCACCCCCACCCCAACCTGGCCCCACCAGGAGGCTCCAACGGCTATAGAGCCGTTTGGGAGTCCTCCAAGTCTCCGTGGCTATGAGCCTATGAAGGAGATTATTATTTTTAATTAATGACAGTTGGCTTAGACCGGTCACGGACCGGCCGGGCCACTCAACTTTTCCAACGAACCGTAGCCCGCTCCCCCTCACCCCGGGTCGAGCCCAAACGACCGGTACCGGGCCCGGTTGGCCAGTCCGGGCCGTTACCGCACAGTGATGGGCTGGTCTGGTTCTCGGGGTGGTCCACACCGGGCCGATCCATCCCTATGGTGACCCCTCTTTCCAAACTTAGAACTATCAAACAAAAACCATTTTTTTCACCTCCCCCTTTATGGTGGCTAATATTTAAAACTTTCTCTTCCCCTCCCCTTGGTGTAATTGTATCAAAGGGATGTTTATTCCTTAAATTGTACGTAGTATGTTTTTATGGTACTTTTGTGGGATTAATTGAGTTTAATGCATCAAATCCCCTCATGATGTATAAATTCAGTGTATTAGTCACTTGTGGTTTAAAAAATGCCTTCAACTTGTTTGTGTTATAATTATCTATGCGCAAAACTTCTTCCAAGAATAAATTTTACAATTTTTAAATCTCTTGTCTTATAATATGATTGAATATACAAGTAATTTTGTCAAGATTTTTAAATTTTACAAAATGTTAATCAATTTTCTTTTATTTGACAAATTAATTTGTACATAAAAGAGGTTTTGCACACGAGTAACTATAACATAGGAGGTTTGATGCATTTTTTATATCACAGGGCCTAATGTGCCGTATTTATATTTTCATGATGTTTGTTACATTAAACCCGGAATTGATTATCACATTTGTATAGATTCTTCTACACTCCGTATATATTTAACTAATGTCAATTACGGAGTATATTTATGTGAAGCGTATCTACATTAAAACCATAAAATTATTGACAATTTTACATTAAAACCATATTTATTCCCCCATCTACATTAAAACCATATTTGTTTTACAATTATTGACAATCTTACATTGAAAATGAGATTGTTAGTCAAGAAAAATGTCAGGAGTGATCCTTATTCCTTATCACCTTATTTTTTGAACAAGTTAAGAAATGAAGAAATAAACATGCTTATTTTCAAAATAGAGATTAACATTAAATAAGACAGCAGGATTATCATATTTGAGAATATATTCCAACAAAAATAATGATTATGGAAGTTTGGAATTTCTTACATAGTCCTAGAGTTTGAAAGTTGGGTTTCACAATATCAGTTGTGGGGAATTTTATTGATTTTTGTGCACTCTAGAATACTCAAAAAAATTGATTGGACTTTTTTCCTAGTTCGTTCCCCAAATTTGTGGGTTCATGGATAGGCCTATTGGGATTTATGAACACGGAACGTGTACTAGAAATGGAATATTAAAACTATTAATATGGAAATATGAGGGTGGACAAAAACGAAAATGCAACGGTTTAACGTGCGATCATTCCACGGTGAGCATCATGAACAGTACACACGTGTACAGTAACTATTTTTTTTCTTTTTGTCCTGATAGCATGAATGATGTAACTCGTGTGTAAGAAAATATATCTCACGTTGATAAAAAATGTAACTGCAGGCAAGTCTAAATGTAACTTGTCTAATATGAATTATAAGAAATAAAACATTGATTTCAATGAAAATAAGGAATCTAATTGCTCAACTACTTTACGTAAATAGTGAATATGTTTTGTTTTTAATATTCAAACCATAAATAATGTTTTCTTTAAATCATTTATTTTGCCAAAAAAACATTTTTTCCCGTAAAAAAAAAACCATTTTTTGCCAAAAAAGTTGTTTTTTTTTTGTTTCAATAGCCGGTGATTACTTAAATAGTGAATATGTTGTGTTTTTTATATCAAGGCCATAAAAATATTTTTTAAAATTCACTTTTTTGTCTAGGAAATCATTTTTTTGCAATTTTTTTTTGCATAAAACTGATTCTTTTGTTTGAATAGCAGGACTTTATGATGTGATGTAACTTATGTTATAGAAAATTTAACTTGTACAACCAAACATTCCAGCTCAGCTGGTTGCGAGGTTACCGTGCCTAGTGGGAGGTCTCGAGTTCGAAACCCGCTAGGCACATAAGGGTTTGAAACTCAATGGAGTGAGTTTCAACCTTGATGATTACTCCAGGCTCCCCCAGACCCCCTCCCCCAGACCCCCTGGAGTAAAAAAAAAATGTAACTTGTACTGATTGAAAATCTAACTTAGGTGTATGCCAAATGTAACTTGTTAAGACAAGTCTAAATGTAACTCGAGTATAAGAAGATGTAACTCACGCATAAAAAGATGTAACTTGCGCTTAAGAAGATGTAACTCATGTTTTGTGGTGTAACTCACATTATTACAAAGGTAAATCACATGTAAGCAAGATGTAACTTATGGAGGAAAATTGAAATGTAACTCACACTAATACATACATAACTTGAGATAAATGGAAATGTAAATCGTTTGAATAAAAATGTAACTTTTTGTAGATAAATCAAATGAGAAGTCCAATACATCAATTATCTTCTACCTGCAATGTCAATGATTATCAAAATGAGATTATACAATTAACAAATAAATTATATGTTATATCCCCAAAATGATTTATATAGAGCTTGGCTTCTTGCCATTCTATAATGACTCTTGATGGACTGCAGGTAAATAATGACTCTTGCCATTCAAATAAATTATACACCAATTATTGGACTTCTACCCCACCACCGCCAAGATAGCAGAGCTTGGCTTCACCGTTAACACAACGCTGGACACGAAGTTAAGGAACAAGAGATTAACGACATGATGACCACATCTTCCGGTGGTGAGTGCTACGACATCAAATTCGACATCGCCGCCTTGAGGACTAGGAGTTGCACCGCCACCACTCCTCGATGCTCCCTCTCCACAAACGCAATAGTCTTTTTTAATCTTACGTTGTTGCGTAATAATAAAGTCGGCCGCATCCGATTTCTGATCACAATTCACAATCATAAGAGATAATAACGTCATAGCTGGAGGGAGATAATAGACAGATGGGAGGAGAAAGGGTAGTGGGACTGT